GAAGCAGTACTCTGTTTTTCGCCTCTGTTGGAGTAGGGAGACACTTTTTATTTAGAAAGCTGTTGGTAGATTTTGGCTGCCTGCCTCAGTATCTGATCATTAGCATACATTCAAAGCATCCACATCGGAGATGATGAGAGCAAATTCATTTTGATTTAAATTTAAATTTTAAGAAAATAAATTACTTTTGGATGACTTCTTTGAGAACTGAAATTCCTATATTGTATTAACTTGATTAGTTTATCTTGTGTTTTTCTAATCTGAGATTTTTGTTCTGCAATATAAGTCAGCCTTTATATCATGCGCCTGCTGTTGGGACTCTTATTTCTGTATTTGACGATTGTGGTGTATTCCGTCAATGATGCATGTACCTTGCAGGGCTTTTGTGTCATCATGCTTGACAAGCAGACTGTCATCCTGTCTCAAGCAATGATACTCAAACATCAACTAAGTGCTACACATTGCCTCTGTGTATGACTCGCACCCCCTGAAGAGAGACTTCTCAAAGTCAACCATTATTGCTAATCTCATTAGCGAGAGAGAGCCACTCCAACTTCTGGACAAAAACCTTACCCTCACCAGTTTTATAAACGACTATGTATTGATTCTATACATTCTTAAACAAATTTTGGTAAATGTATTTTTTTGTCTGGTGTGGTTTCATCCTGCAAAAGACTTATTTTTCAAAATGAGTAGGCATGGAGTGTTTTTCTTCTGACAACAAGACTTGTACACAAAAGAACACAGGAAGATGCACATAAACGATTTGTTTCATGAGTTAGAGAAGAGTGGTGTATGAAACAAAAGGGATAGTTTCCTTCCATCTTTCAAAGTAGTGCCATCATAACAATCATCTTGTCCGACCAATTTGAGATACTTCTGATTCACTCACCTACATTATTGTGCATACACTCTCACTAGCAAACACACTTACACACAAACACACACATCAAAGGCAGTATAGCCTGCAGCTGTTTGAAATGTATCATACTGTGTTTGAGCTACTCCTCAGGAACTAAGGTGTTATCCTGAGGCTTCCAGGATAAAAATGTGCTCTTGAGCAACTTAAACCAAAGCTGATCATTCTGAGTATGGGAAAAAATCGTATATCGTATATAAAATCTTATAAATTTAGTCTTATGCAATATTCACTGGCTGATATTATAATATACTTATTTCTTACATGAACTTAAAAACCAAAAGAAAACCTTTTATTCTGCAATCATCTTGATTTGTTAATTGTACAGCGGTTACATTGAGGAGAGTCTCTGTGAGAACTCAGGTGGATTTTATTAGTTACACTGGTAGACATTCGATCCGGATTCTGTCAGCTTACAGAAGTAGATGCGGGCTCAAGCAAAGGATTTATGGAAGCAATCCAGAAATAGAGCAAGAGGACTTACAGAGGCAAACCCTAAGTCCTCCCAATGCACTCCTGTGTGTCTGACTTCAGTGACCACAGCTGTGCAGAGAACATTTCTGTATCTCAATATGTATGGAAATGAGTGGCAATCACACAATCATCTGTTCAGTCTCTTCAAACATGCTAATGTTATCCACTTCAGCACCTTCTCAAACTAGCATAAACCATATGTGTGTATAAACCTGCCCTTTGTTCCTTCCCTCTTCAAGCTGCCTTTCTTCCTATCCTCTGTCGCCTGTTTTTCCTTCACCGGTTCTACCCAAAAACCTCTCTCCATTCTTCTCAACCAGGGATTGAAGGACTCCATTTCAAAACAGTGCACGTCTCAGGGACTCAAGTGAGGGGTTTGTTCCACTGCCACACTTCCGTTCACAAACGCTCCTGCTCGGGGAGGAGGGAGAAATCCCTGTTAATCTACTGAATCTGGCTTTTTCTTTCTCTTTTGTTTACTGTTGCTGAGATCCTTATGCACTGATCTGTACGGATGATATGTGTATGGGGATGTTTGTTTTTGGGCTGGAGAAGCTACACAGGGCCATACATTTTTCTCACTTCTAGTGGACTACATCAAAGGTCTTCATGGCAATAAAATAGCAAATGTTTAAAAAAAAAATCAAATTGTAATATCAAATGTAATATTTTGACTTTAGTTGTGGAATGACATTGCAAATCCTCAGTGCTCCACACACCCATGCTAAGGGAATTGAAATTTTATAAATATATAGATATATTTTTTTAATTGAATTTTATTTATTTTATTTTTTTCCAGGCTATAGGCTTAGAGTTATGCTGTTAAGCAGGTAATTAACAGCTAATCACACTTATGCTAAATGTTTGGTCATGCATTGAGCATTGGCTTGGCACTGGCTAAACAAAGAAAATATATATTTTTTTACTAAAATGTAAATTGTGAGAGAATATGGATTTGTGTGTAAATATTACACTTCTACTTGGTCCCCATGGGGCCTACTATTTGTCTTGCCTGCCTCTCTGAAGTGAGCATACTTGGTCTGCACTACTAGAGCTGCTGGGGGATGCTTGTTCTGTTGATCTGTATTTAATGAAAGAAGTGACCATGCATAGAGCACACTTGGCCATTCGCTCAGCAAGAGTTTGTAATCACTACAAGCTGTTTCCCTTTTTTCATGCGGTTTATTATTGAACAATGATCTATGAGTAGAAAAGCGTGCGCATCCGCCATCTTCTTTCTCCTTTGTTTTATTTCCCTCTGCGAGTTTCCACTTTGGAAAGTATTGATTTGGTAGCTTGAAAATAACAAACTGACAACTGTGTGAGTGGGATAATAAACAGCCTCAGTAAAAAAAAAAATGTGTTCAAAGCACCCATGAAGTGTGGGTCTCTAAGTAATTATTAGTTTCTGTATATGCTTAGATGCAGTCTGCGAGAGATGGTTGCACCTTCTGTTGTGTGCCAGTCTCAGTTATTTGGCAGGCATAAAGAGTATCTAGATAGTAGACAGGAGGATATAACACAGTGCTATGTCACTGTAGTGCACAGACCTGAGCTTATTTGGCTGAGTACCAGGGTTGAAAGGACCTTCAAACTCTCAGCATGATGAATGTGAGTCATTCAAAAGACTTTCAGATGCATGTTCATATTGTTGGATCAGAGTGCAATATACACACACACCAAAGAAACTCAGATATTGCATTAAGGGCCCGAATGTACTCTTTTTAAAACGTTTGTACAATTTCAGCTTTTAAGCTGCTGTTGTCCTCGGTTGTCCTGACTGATAAGAGTTAGGACACTTCCAATTATACATAGAAGATCACTTAATGCTGGTTTCCTGCTAGTTTTATAACTGATTATAATGCTAAATAGATAAATGAACATCAAGGTCCCTTTGGGCATCCATAGAAATGTTGAAAAACTGAGCAGGCTTCGGCCGCTACCAAACACGATGATCAGTCGGATAATGAAGACCGAGTCATTTACTGACTGGTGGTTGAGGCCCATGCTCTCTGACAGCTGTCAGCTGCCATGACTACACCGTTACGACCATCTTTGGGATTTATTTCAGCTCCACACACAGTGGTGGCTTTTTAGCATCATTTGGGCCAGCGCAGAGAGACTTTTCCGACCTCCCTTCTGCTAATGACAGCGATCACGATGGTAGATGGGAGAAAGAGGACACAGCTTGTCACTTTGACTCATGCAACAGCAGCTTCAGCCGGGTGGCTTACTGCCAATGTCTCAACAGTCGTTATATCTCTCCTAAATGACATTTAAAGTGTGAAGCAATGGCTGTCCTTGTGGCTTAGTCATTCCAGGCCAAGCCCCGGCTATGAACATTGAACCCTGAGCCAAGTTCTGCAGCGAGGTCACAAACCCTGAAGGAAAATGTCCTGCCTCAGATGCCGTAGCGCGCTCCGCTGGCATTACTGAACATGCAGAAAGCGACCTTGAAGACAGATGCTGTCTGCGATCTAAAGTCGGCTCGTGACTTTCCCTTTCATTAGCCCTTCATGTTTTGTTTTGTTTCTTTTGCCTCTCACAGCGTTTTTCCCTCTCCCATCTATGTTGTGTTAGGGAATTTTGAGGGAAATTAAATTGTATCATTTGTAACGTTTTAAAATTTATTTCAGAATCAACCATTGTGTAATTCCTATTAAGAAAAAATACAGAACAAATTAATAATAATAATAATAATAACAATAATAATAATGTCTTTAATTATTTCAACCCATGTTCCTAACCCTTTTATAGCTTTCATTAAAAGATGTAATTACAAATGATGTAAATTAATTTACTTGAATGTAAAAAATATAAAGAAAAAAGTTCTTATTTAATTATTTCAATACAATAAACCCAGCTGCTTCTTTAAATAGTGAATTAAAACTGAGAGATTGTGACATTACTGCACACTACACATTTTTTATATCCTTATTAGGAGCTTTATTTTGTATCTCAATCAAGTACATTATCATCAATTTTATATCATTTCTTTTTTATAGCAGTAATCACAGAAAGCTTACACATTGATTACATGTCATTGTCTTTCCCCCAGTCATTGTTGCCAACATTAAACATATTTAACTAAATAGTAAAATGTTGAAAAAACAACTACAAAGTCAATTAAATCAGTAAATTAAATGAGTCTATTAAAACTGTCTCATTTAGTTTTTTTTATATTTGCAGCTACATCATGAAACTTTACCTCTGGCATGTGAAGTTAGCCAATTTTTGTAATAACATATATGTTTAATAAGTATGTTCTGATACTTACACAATCACAGTTGTTGAAGTGTCCTTGTTGAGCATACTGAGCTTAAAATTGCCTCTCATTGTATTCAGCATGCTCCTCATTTACCACGACCGATACATTTTAGTTAAAATACAGAATATTCAGAATAACATCAAACCTCCAATTACAATGTGGTAAGTGGAGTAACTGATGTGTGAAGGTAAAAAGTGCTTCCAGGATTTTTTCATTTTGAATTTTTACAGTCAATACAAAACAAAAAGGAAAAGTTTGTCACTGTGTAGCTTTTATTATTGCAGCATCATCATGCAAACTGGATCATGCTTACACCTCCCCTCATAACTCTGTCCACAGTCTATCCGAGAAGTGACGGGCTACGTCCTGGTGGCTTTGAACCAGTTTGATTACCTGCCTTTGGAAAACTTGAGGATCATTCGTGGAACCGAGCTGTACGAGGACCGCTACTCCCTTGCAATCTTCCTCAATTACAGGCGAGATGGAAACTTTGGCCTGCGGCAGTTGGGTCTAAGAAACCTGACAGGTAAGTGACTGAATTATTTGGATCCCTTGTTAAGGTGTATTGCATAGGCCGACATAAGGTGTTCTGGTTTTTTGTAGGCATTTTATTTTTTGCACTGGCTAATATAAATCTTAGCAGATTAACTGTGCTCGTCAAATGTATTTTCTTCCAGTGTCATGTGACCTTTTGTATGTTAGTTATTCAGCCAAAAGGCTGAGCTGCAACATGCGTTGGCATCAGATACAAAAAATACTGTGCAAATATATTTGTGTTACTTTTTTTGTCATTTCCAAATAGTACTGAGACAATAAAAAAGTAGTCTCCAATTCATAACCCATTCAGGGATTGACCTGAGCCTCCTCACGAGTTTGAGAAGTCTTTAAATGCTGATTTATGATAAATTCTGCAGTAGGAAAACTGTGGGAGGTTGTGTTTCTTTGTGAACTCCATGCACTGCCTTCTTTGGGAGATATGATATTGTGGTAATTTGTAAATAAAATCTTTGACTATTAAACCTGATTCAGAGCTTTTATAGTTAGAACAGTGAGTAATATATAAAGACCAGGGTCGAATGTTTTAATCACAAATTTTCAAGCAATTTTTTTTCCTTTCAAATCATCTGAATGTGTAGTTTGATAGAGATGGAGACTGTTTTGGCTGAGTTTTACATCTGACAAAGTATATGTATTTGAGTTTTAATAAGGTTCAAGATGGATAAATTGACAACTGAAATAATCACGCCAATCAATTTTTTTAACATTCACTCTCTGAGTGCCGCATCACAAATAATAACAAACTTAAGGGGACCAGGATCTGATTGATAAAGATCGCATTAGATCATCTTCTTTAGCTTTTCTTATCACAAGCAGCTCCAGATTAGCAGAAAATTTACAGATTTGTGTTTGTTTCCTTGCTTACTTTCTTCTGTGCACTTGTTTAGGAATTCAGTGAAAATTGTGTCAATTGTTTTGTTCCTCTACTATGAAGCATTTTCTTTGAAAAATATACTTTAAATGTCATTTTATCCTTATTTCTATTTGGATATTTTGCCTGTAGTGATAACATACCATGTATTAAAGCTTGTCGTAAATTATTAATACCCCCTATGATCCATTGTAAAAGAAGCTTGATTTTTCATATATCAAGAAGATACTTGCTGAGGCTATAAAGAAATGGACCAACGCTTTGTACTTGAAAATGAGAAATTCCTGTTTTGCAAGATAGCATTTCATTTTATGTAGAGATTTCATTTAGATTTCTGGGTTAGAGGCATGGCACTGAGCCTGTGTCTCAACCTCTTTCAAATCCTCTTTCTAAATAATTCAGTTGTCTCTTATTGTTCTCGTCAACTGTTCCTTCCTAGTGATTCCCCAGAGTTCAAGGGAACAACACAGTCTGCATGTGCAGCTACAGCTTGTGCTTCTGTGTTATGGCCCATCTTCTTTTCTATCTCGCATTTTGAGCCATACTTGGGGAATTGCATTTGTCTGGCACCAACAGCAGCATTTTGCCAAGCCAGTTCTTTTCATTGTGGTGCCAAGTTGAAGACAGTGCTGGGGGAGCCAGAGCTCAACTCTGTGGTGTTTGATGTGCCATCCGTGGCCTTAAGCCATGAAGTTGAGAGGAAGTTACGGGCAATAGCTTTACTTCATAACTCTGTGTTTTACTCCGTATCCTTATACAACGAATGTAACATATCCTTTATTGCCTAAAAAAAAAATCTTTATAATATTTGTTTTCATGTTTATGTTTGTTTTTTACATTAAAGTAAGGCAAATATCTTAAGAGGCTTAATTTACACACCAAAGGTTCTGGATCCCCCCTGATGATGTCATAAGGCTCTTATACTCCATTTCTGATGTCTAAGATGCCGTTAAACTCTTCTGTGAAATTATAATGACAAATTCAAATACGTCACTCCAGGCACAAGAGACATGGTATTGCTTGCAAAGGTCATTGCCATTGAGACATTCTTATATTACATTAGGTGAGAAAGCAAATTTTGTTCTGGTCTGAGGTTCATTCGTTCATTGTCCGCACCGGAGGGGGGGAGTGTTATTTGTCTTGAGTAAATAAACTGAAATACATATTTTAGCTATTCAGTAAATTCCAGTATATAGATAATATAATTTTTACTCATTCATTAATTTGTCAATGTTAACTCATTTTTCTCAATAGAATGTAAGAAATAAAACATCAAATGTTGAAAATTTTGAATATTTCATCAGAAATAACAGCTCATTTTCAAACTTTTTCCCCTCACCTCAATCCAATTTAAATCACCAGAGATGATGGTGGCATCTCTAGACAGCGTGTATACATGTCCTCCTGTCATGTTAGAGCTTTGACCTCCAATTATGGACGGCATCAAAACTGTTTTTGTAGTTAAAGATTTCCTGAAGCATGTTTGAGCCCAGAGAGTGATTCTCATGACAGAGTCATGCCTTGGTTCTAATGCAGTTTCACCTGAGGGCCTGAAGACCATGGCCATCGAGCATTGATTTTAATCTGTCACTTGCACACAGAAATATCTCCCTATTCTCTAATTCTTTTAATGAAAAGCATGTGCTGTAGACAAAAGTGTATTTAAAATCTGCAGCTCGCAGCAGATGGCTGAACATTTACTCAGAATACCTCTGAAAGACTCTTTCTCTATACAGTATATCTCTCCAGCTTTTTCTTCTTTTATCCCTTTTTTATAATTAGTTGCCATTAAATCTAAGGTGAGCTAACCTTTGTCATGTTACAACGAAATTGATCTTTTTAAAAGATTGAACATATGTTTTATGTGCTTTTATTTGCCTTTTTTTAGGTTTAATGATCTGCCCCTCTGTTTACATTTCCATATGGTGTCTTGTTTTTCTGTATCTTTTAACGCTGTTTGTTTTGGAATTGGGATGGTATTTGTCAAATTAACACTCAGTTTATGCACCATATAATTCTGTCATAATTCTGATTCTCTTATTACTCATCTTCACTGTGCCAAACAGGTTTTGGCCACTGTTGTATATCAGCTGGGTTGAATATTAAAACATATGTCATTGCTTTGCAAATCAGTTTGTGACCCTAGTGTGCAATTGCTATTTTTGAAAGGTGTATCTTTTTTTTCCAGATGGAACAAATAACACACCTCAAGTCATTTATATGAAGGGAGATTTCGCTATTAGTGGGTCAACAAACACAGTTTGAGAAAAATAAGTACCAACCTTTAAGGTTATAATAAGACTTATGTCTTAGAGGGTCTACATGTCTGCAGTTTGTACAGATGGACCTGACAGTGAAACCATCTCCTGCTTGAGGGTAGGATAAGTAATTTGTGTCTCATCATGTTTTATTCCAGTTGTCATCACTAAGGAGTGCTGCTGAGGAGTAAATAACCCTGAATCATCAAGATAAAGCCAAAGCTATACATCAAGTGGAGCAGATCAAACTCCTTCCTTCCTCAAAGTGCTTTGGAGAGTCCAAAGCTGTCTCATTCATTGCAAGGCCTTTGATGTTGCTGTCATATTAGTCCACTGTTTCCTTGCCAGTAGCTCCCATACAACGTGTAAAATGATCAATATAACCCATAAGCTACATATATAAGAGGATAAAACTTATTAAGTACATAAGGGACTAATCGAGAGAAGGCATGGTAAAAGACTTCTTCAGCACCGAACACACACACACATTCCTACTTGGGTCAAAATTGCCTTGGGATAAAATCAATTTGTCGCTAGTATATTGTAGCCTTGCACTTATTGATTTTTCTGGTGCACACTGTGCAGTGCGGTGTGAATGGACTCTCTGGATTTAAGGGGACTGGAGAATGGGATGGAGGAAGGTCTTTGGCTGAGCAGGGATAGGACTCCCTCTGATGCACCTTTCAATCAAGCTTAGCTAAGTTATCCTCATGAATATGAAATATAAGGCAAAGCCAAGTCAAGAAGAGTTAAGGGATGGTGTCTGTGTGCACGGGAGTGTATAGAAATAAGAAATAAAAAGGCACTCTGCATAAGTGTGGGAAGTTTTTTGGGGGGATATAACTTTTTGGCTTTAAGAGAAGAAAAACAATAACACCCTGAAGAAAATATAACAATGTTTCATGTTATTGGGTCTACACGTGAGCTCCTTGTTTACTGCAAAGAGTAAGAAAGATAAGAACTTATTGCAATCTACTCGCCATATAGAATTAAGACAAAGTTGAAAGAGAGGCCTTAGGACACTTTTTATGTCCCCTATCTAGATTTGAATCCACACTGGCCCAAAACGATTGTCTAGACAAACATTTACAGCAGTTTTGTTTGGATTTCCATGAACCATTTTGCAGCCTCTGTGCTTTCACATAATTACAACCTGCTTCCCTGGCAAAAAGGTAGCAGCTTCAATAAGTAGAATGACATGGATTTAACACCTATTACTGCCAGCACCCCACCTCCAATCTCCCATTTTATCCTGCATCTATTTATTAATCTTTTCTTTTTATATCAGATAATTCTTTTTTCTTCTTTTCTATTCTTTTCTTTCCTTTTTTTCGGTGTAACCACCTTACGCCTGCACTGCGTCTGTCTTAAACGAAGCATCCAATCTGAGGCCCCATCTGCTGAATGATCCTCTCTCATTGCATGCATGTACACAAGCCTGTGCTTTACGCCAAGGCGTTATCCACTCCTTCATGGCCCATCTGCTCTCCCTTTATCTATCCCATTTTCTGACTTCCATCTCTTTATTCCTCTCTCATTCTCTGTCACATTTCAGATGGCCAATTTGATTTGTCTCCATGATGCCTTTCACACAAACTTTTACAGTGTCATGTTGGCACTACCCCTCACTGTAAACAAGATCCTTTTTGAGCACTTGAGTCTTTTGTGCTCTCCAAGGAATACGCAGTTGTAGTATCATCATCTAAACGTGTCCTGCTCAGTGTCCTGTGACAGCGATACATATGGGAGCCATAGAAAAGATGGGATGAGACAAGGTGAAAAGAGCAGTTTGAGTCGGTGTGTGTCTCCCAGACGAGAGACTGCTGAATATGAGGGCAT